GGGAGATCCTACAGATTCCCGCTTCCTTAAGTCAGTGGCCAGAATGAGGCCCATACCTTCGAAGTCTTGCCCCTCTTGGGACCTCTCATTAGTCTTAAAGGTTTGAGCCTTTGACAGAGGCTTCTGTGAAGCTTGTACCGTGGAAGATAGTATTTCTGGTGGCTATCACTACGCTTCGTAGAATTGGTGAGCTGCAAGCTCTATCAATCAGAGAACCATTCTTGTCGGTTTTTGATGACAGGATAATTCTGAAAACAGACCCTTTTTTTTGCCGAAAGTAGCCACGGCTTTTCATAGGTCAGAAGACATTGTGCTACCCTTCTTTTGTGCCTCTGCCTTAAATGAGAGAGAAAAATTATTTCAGCCTGCTGGATGTAAGGAAATGTCTCTTGCATTACTTGGAAGTATCAAAACAATTCAGAATGTCTGATACTCTATTTGTCCTTTCTTCCTGCAATTGTCGAGGATTTAAGGCTTCTAAGCCAACTATTACCAGATGGATCAAGCAAACCATGTCTTGTTGCTACCAGACTAAAAGGCTGTCGGTACCTTTCATTAATGCACTTTCTATACACTAGGCTGGTAAGTTCTTGCTTATCGTCTCATGGGCTGTCCTGGAAGACGACTTGGGAAAACTGGACTTGGACTTACTGGTAACTCTAATTCCAGGAGTCTTCCAGGACAGCCGGATTCCCACCCGATGCATTATGTTATGCTATTTTGTATTATGTTTTTCAGCTCTGTCCTTAGGTACTTGTGTTTTATTGAGGCTTGGGCTTGGAGGACCGCCTTTTAATCTCTGAGGGGTAACATGTTTCCTGTCCTGTGGTAGGACCTCTGCGTCTTGTGGGCTGTCCTAGAAGACTCCTGGAAAAAGTTACCAGTAAGTCTAACTCCAGTTTTCCTATGGTCAATGCTAGAATGTTTACAGTTGTGAATAGGTAGGCGCTGTGAAAACCATAAAACATATAGTGAAAACAAAATATCTCTCTCTACATTTTGTAACAAATAATAATTAAAACTGGGTGTGATACTACATACTCCCAGTATTAAACTAAACAATAATAAACCTTAGTCTTTAGTAAATGTTAAGTGAATCGGTGTTCTAGTAACAGTCCTTTCAAGATACATTGCTGTGGACCAAAAATCTGTGTGCTTTCACCCCGTGCAGATGAAATAAGTGAATTTCTCACTCACCAGACTTATTTGACCCCGGTTAAGGTGGTCAATAGTGCATTGTTATAATATGTACAGAAAGATCTGCCTCTGGCTTTCCTAGGATGTTCCTCATGATCATCGGCACATTGCTGGTAATGGCCCCAGGTGAGTAATCATAGGATTTCAGGTAAACCGACAATAGATGGACTCTAATGGTTCTGGCGGCTGACCAGCATAAAGTTTTAATAATTTACTTTTCTGGGATGAGATGCAAAGGTTTTTAGCTTCTGGTAAAAGCACACAGATTTTTGGTCCATAGCAACTTATCTTGAAAGGAATGTTACTAGAACACTGTGATTCAATTTATGTTTCACGAAAGACTAAGGTTTATTATTGTTTAGTCAATGCTGGGAGTATGTAGTATCACACCCAGTTTTAAATATTGTTACAAAATGTAGATAAATGTTTGTTTTGACTATTTTTTATGGTTGCACAGCACCTACCTATTCACGATTGTATATGTGTAAAGTGTATTTAACTTTTTAGGGGCAGCTGTAAATTCTCATTGTTGGCACAGTATTATTTAACACAATGACACCAGGCGCCACAATATTTTATATTTGAATGTTAGAATGTTTCTTACACCCTTTCCTGAATTCTGTTAGGGGTAAAGTCTGTTGGCTGGTCATCTACAACACCAAGTTGTCAGTTACATATGTACTCTCACCTCAGATCCAAAATAGCAGACTGCTGCTGTTGAGTGGGTCTGTGCTCACAAGCATTCTGCACAGTAGAGATTGCAGAGGAAGCACAGGTCTTCACGATGAACAATCAGTGCTGCATAATTAGGAGTTGGTGGTGGTGGGGAGTAATAGGGTGTTGGCCCTACCTCCATGCATAGGGAATGCGCCTAAATTGGGATTAATCCTGTTGCTGAATTACATCCAGTCCTGAAAACTTAAAATGTAAAGCCCCACACGGTCACGTGTTTTTTTTTCTTTAATTTGGACAGCCAGCGGGGGGAGAAGGTCCCCCGCTAGCTGTCACAATGGGGGAGTGGGGGCTGATCCTTTCATAACATGTTACAAGTTGCACCCTGTATATGGTTGTAACATGTTCCAAAGAGTGAACCTATCTTTTAAGAATGAAAATTACAAATCGTTTAGCAGGTAAAATGGCGTACGTGGATTATATGTATTTCAACTGTGATTTAAGCAATTTGCCTAGAGTTTCTTTAAAATCTCAATTCTTATCCATTGAAAGCTACAGAAGTCTGTAAGCTTTGGGCAATACTACCACCTATAGGAGGGTTGAACGCTGATGAGAAAGATTTTTGGCCAGGCCTCTTACTACCAGCATGTCCCTGTTGGGTTGTTGTTTTTTGCTAGTGTTCTAGAAGTAGCAACATTGTTTATTCAGTTCTGCTGTGTTAAGCATCATTCACTCAGGTGTTTAGCTACACTGCGTATCCCAGTGGCAAGAATCTACTGGTTCCTGCACCTGGGATTGACAGCTGCATGCAGATAGCTGCAGGGCCCATACACTGCAATGTCAGGCTGTCTGGAGCCACAGCTATTCACACAGCCAGCAATTACCTGCATGCTATTCGCGTGCCACTGTTAATCCCAGCCATAGAAATCAGTGGATTCCTGGTGCTGGGATTTGCAGCATGGCTAAATGTGTGTGGGACTGGTGCCTTACAAACTAACCTAATTTTTTGCTGGCACTTTATTCAATTTTTTTTTTTTTTTTTTTTTTTTTTATTAAGAATCTCCTCTAATTGCTGTTGGCTTTGTACTGCATCCAGACCACTTGACTGGATAATGCTGGAAACTCTTATAAAGTAACCTTCAGGCACTGGGTTCCATGCAGGGTACTCTCCATACGTTGTTCTGGAAAGAATTCCGCAGCTAAATTTTACCAGAACTAGAGCTGGTGGCTTTACCCCATGCCCCCCTGGGGCTTGCTCTGAAGACTTGGTGAATAGACTGGTCGGGCCAATCATGTGGGATCTATCATTTGCATAAGGCTCTGAGCACCTTTATTCCCCATTCATTTTCACCTACAAAGCTTTGATGCTGTGGAACAGACTGCTAATGTTATATACTAAGTGGAGTAAATAAAATCAATGTTCCTCCTGCGCTTAATAAATGGACCTGTGAACAGTATTAAAGCTGCTAGCACCTTAATCCTATACCTATAGGTGTAAATACCAAATAACATAAAAATGTGGTGCAGCGCTAAAAACATAATAAAAAATTGGCAAAAAATAAAAAATTATTGCAACAAGACTATTTAGTGTTGAGATCCTACAAGGATCTACAATATAGTGCCATATAGTGTATATAGTGAAACAATCAACTTGGTCCTGAAAATTGGACTCAATATATGGTGAAATAAAACAAACTTCCCAATCGCAGAAAAAAGGGGATAATAATCATACACCAAGTGTGTAAACAGTGAGTCCCAAATGTGGGATATTCATAACTCAAATATCAAAATGACAAGTGCTTAAAAAAATGACCACCTACAATATTCACATGTGAATCAAACAAATAAAAAAAAAAAAAAAAAAGTGTGTGTGTATGTGTATATATATATATATATATATATATATATATATATATAGGAAGAATTATTTGAGTGAAAAAAACAATCATATAAATGTCCAATAAAGTGCAAACAGCTAAGGTGCTTGGCTATTTATTGGTCATGCAAAATGGTGCTGTGTGGTGTGCGCACCCAAAACAGATCCTTCAATGACTAAAATGCCCCCTCACCTCCAACATACGACCCAATGGGCCAATGTGCCTTTTGGATCACACCTGGATCCTTCACGGGTAAGACTTCCTTGCTATCTGATCTCCAAATAAGGACTCTTCCCTCACTGGCACCACAAACAGCATAAAGGTATTCCCTTTTCCTGGGTAGGTAGGTAGGCGACCTCAAAACCGTCAACTTACTTGCAGTCATATGTAGCTCATGAAAGAAGAGAGATCCTCCATAGTGCAACAATGCTTTATTCCAGTAGGTTTAGATGTAAAAAACCGCCAAGTTTACACTCATTTTTCAGTAGTTTCACATAAGCATTCACACCACATGTTCTGGGTGTACTTTACATGAAGCTGGGTGTACCAAGATGGCTACCGCCGTGATTACATCACCGCGTATCGACGCGTTGTCACCCGGTTTCCCAAATTTGCAGATCTGCCACCTGGTCTCTTCTCCAATTTCTGCAAGGTGGATATTTGTCTGATTTCTGATGCCAGCTTCAAGTTTAAGGTCCTTCAGATGTTATGCACCATTGGGCATACCATCTCAAGTTCTCTGTTTTATTTGGCCTGTTAGCAGTTGCTTGTGGTGTTTATCACCCCTCGGTTGGACTGCTTTCAAATGTCCCTCAGTAGACAAGCAAATAGAATTTTTATACTTGCTATGAACTTTTTTTTTTTTTTTTGTCTTGAGAGAGGTCCAATCTCCGTGTTTATACTCCTTCTCTTGATACTGCTTGCTAGAAAGCTGACACTTGCTGGTAGTAGTAGAATGAATGCTGTGTTGACAGTTTTTTCAGTTGTCAGTGTTCAATCCTTCTGTAGTTGGCAGTATAAGCTGGAAGTTGAAGATTTTATGTGTCTCTGAATTAACTCTCTGAAAGATTTTGCCGTGAGTACAACAATCCAATTATTCAAACTAGGTATCTGAGGGAGACCTGTAAGAAAATAATCAAATCGTAGTTCTGGGGGTTTGGGGAGTCACTGTTCGGTATTTACCATGTAAATCTAAGTTTTGCAATTTTTTTAGTGTGGTAAATAATGTTTTTGTTTTTTTCCCCTCTGATTTAGAACATTCGTCCGATCAACACTGCTACTGGTCCTCCTCGATACAGATTGCTGATGAGTGATGGGTTAAACACACTTTCGTGTATGTTTTTTAAAATGTACTGTTTCTATTGCCATATGGTTAGGGATAATCAATTCTTAATAATAAAGATTTTGATTGCGAACTGGCTTTAACAGTAGACAGCCATGTAATTTAGGGCTGTTTCTTGTAAGCGAGTCTTAACTGATTTATGTATAGATCCAAGTTTCTATTACACTTGTGTATGTTGGCACCCTGTTCTGCTGAGGTAATGAAAACTGAGCTGACTTGGCACAGCAGAGGGGTTCTTGAATGATTTGGAAATGGAACTGAACACCTTTCCCTCCAGAAAGGGGGATAAAATAGTAGAAGCCCTGGGAGCTGCCCCATGTTTTTGTGGCCCTTTTTTTGTGATCTTAAAATGCCAACCTATGACACACAGTTGGTCAAAATGTTTTTTTTTGTCTACACAAGTAAATAACTTTTGACCAATTCTCAGTAGATATTCGCATTCTTGGCCCTCCAGAATTTTTAGAATTTTTCAATGGCTTGTTTCGCTTTTCTTATTTTGTGTGGTTTTTATTTTTTTTTTGGTTTTTTTTGTTTAGTTTTTTTGTCCTCCTAGGCTTTGCAGGGTCTAATCTGTATTCTTTCATTCTTCCATTTAACTGCTTTAAATGGTGCTTAGTATTTGACCCAAATCCTAGTTTGTGAGCCATTCAAAATGTAGTAATCTGCAGTCTCCTATCCAGCCAGCAGATGGAGAGGGATTGTTTCCTTTTACATATTAACCACTTCCCACCTGGCTACTGCACATAAACAGCCAGGTGGGAGATTCGGCGTTCTGAGGGGACATTCAGGAACGTCCTTCAGAACATTCGCACAAGCGCGGCCTCGTGGCTGCGCGCTCTGTGTACCTGTGTCCCTTGGACACAGCGCAACACCGCTCGGCAGAAGGGCCCTCTAATTGGCCCCTCTGATCACATGACGGCCAATCATAGCTGTCATGTAATGTCAACAGAGCTGCCATTCATTTAAACAGAGTGCAAAATAGAAATGACGTAGATAAATAGATAAATTAAAAGCCTTATAAAGTGCAATGTGACAATCGCGGTTCATTAGATGGCTGTTGGATTATCGTGACTTCCGTGGCTTGTAAAAAATGAGTATACAATGCACTAACCAGATAGCACAAGGTTTTGTGCGTTGGAGTAAATAAGACCTACTCCAAGGTACTCTGGAAGCAGGAACTCTGCAGACAGGTGAGGTCGTCAGGTGGAGTTGAGTCACCAGATATCATCAGACCAAGGCAGATTTCCTCATTCCAGTATAGTGTATGATCATCATATTGGATACATCATGTAGTACGGACTTCAGCCACCGGGGGGATCATGCACTTTAGTGTAAGTCTCCTACCATGGTGCACATTAAAGGAGGGGGGGGGGGCTCACAATTGCCAAAAAATCAGCCCAGAGAATGAGAAAAACTCCAATAGTGTAGTATTTATTAGACAAGTGGAGTTACAATTGTAAGCAAAAGTTAAAAACCGGACACTTACATCCAGAGATATTTAGAACGGTATAATAGGTCAGTACTCCATGTACAGGGGAAAAAATACAGGTTCAAAAAACTCACCATGCATCCTACGAATTACCTTGGAATGCCTACTTTCCAAAAATGGGTCATTTGTGGGGTATTCGTACTTACCTGGCTTGTTGGTGTAAGACATGAGAGAGGCTGTCAGTACGTCAGGTGTGTTCAACTTTCAGTGATTGGTACCATAGCTTGTAGATTCTATAACTTCCACACAGACCAAATAAAAAACACCAATTGGTATTATTTTTACCAAAGCAATGTAGCTGTATACATTTTGGCCCAAATTTATGAAGAAAAATTACTTATTTGCAAACTTTTATAACAAACGAAGAAAATTGTTGTTTTTTTTTTTTCAAATTTTTTGGTCTTTTTTTTTAATTTACAGCGCAAAAAAAAACCCACTGCTAATCAAATACCATGAAAATGAAGCTCTATTTGTGTGAAAAAAAGACAAAAATTTAATTTGAGTGATAATTACAGTCATGCAACACTGTACCCAAAGTGTGAGAGCACTGAAAGCTGAAAATTGGTCTGGGCAGAAAGGGGATAAAAGTGCCCAGTATTGAGGTGGTTAAGCTATTTCAGCTTTGACAGACAAGTTCTCTGAAAATACTACAGCACAAAGCTTGGCTTCTGCTATTACAGGAGGGGGTTGGGGGTATTGCGCATGCACTAGTTTTGATGAAGAAAAAAGCTCAGTCCTGTGTTGTTGGGGGTGTATCGCTTAGAAATTGATGTTTTCTTAACTGGTTGTAAAGTGTTTTGTTTTTGTTTTTTTTACCTTAATGCATTCTCTGCATGAAGGTAAAAAACTTTTTATTAGTAGCTCCCCCACTGCCCCCTCCAAATACTGACCTAGACCTGATCTCAGTCCAGCGCTGTGAATGTCTGAAGCAGCTCTTCTGTCCTGTCTCACAGACTTGGCTCTTGCTGCTGTCAGTCAAAACTTGAACAGTAGGAGAGTAACACTTTGATTTTGTTGCATTTCTGTTTGTCCTATCCATTGCACCCACAGTATTCACAAAGGTGCTTGCACCACTTCTCTCCCTCGAGGACTCAGGGCATCCAGGTTACAGGGTATCTAGATGACCTCCTGAAGGTTTCATTTCCCCCACAGGTGTTTGCAAACGGGCGGACTGACCATATGGAAACTCGGGCACTGCCCGAGGGCCCGGGGTCAGTAGGGGGCCCCATGAGATGCCCCTGGTACCTTTTTTCATAGGCTTTTTTGAGTTTGGGCAAAGACACAGGGGCCCCATGATCCCCTATTGCCCGGGGGCCCCATGAGTTGTCTGTCCACCCCTGTTTGCAAACATCCTGTGAACTATTCAGATTCTTCAGACTTTCTGTTGGATAATTAACGGCCAACAGTCTGCCCCCCAGCCTGCCCTGCATCTGGAATATCTAGGCCTCATTCTAGACACAGTGCAGACAGAATTTTCCTTCTACCAAACTAGATTCTCTCTAATGTCTCATGTCTTATACTTAAGCTTTAGAAATGGGGAAAGCCTTTTTTTTTTCCCCCCCACCTTTACTCAAGGTGATAGCAGATATCGTCCCCACAGGCTGGGATGGAGTGTTTAAATCTCTTACAGTTCAGGGAACCTGTTCACCCATTTCCTCTGGACCCCACTTCTCCAGGTACACTCAATTAGGGTGTAGTTGGAGAATGCCACGTTGGTGGCCTATATCAATCATTGGGGGTGGGGGAGACCACGAGTCAGACCACTTTGGGGGAACCAAGTCATCATCTGGACTGGAAAGCACTACTCAGCAATGTTTGCTGTTCACATCCAAGGAGTGGACAATTGGAAGATGGATTTCCTCAGTCGTCATCGTCTGTCCCTTCCCATCATGGCCTCTTCTCTACCTTAGGAACTGGGGGTTCCCAAATGTGGATATGGTAGCCTCCAGGTTCAACAATTTAACCCTGTTTACTACCAAGACCTACAATCCTCTAGCACTGGCATTCTATTCTCTGGTAATTCAATGAGCTCAGTTCACGTTAACCACTGGCCCTCCAGAGGATTTACCCCCCTTCCTGACCAGGCCATTTTTTTCGATACAGTGCTGCGTTACCTTAACAATTGTGCGGTCATGCAACACTGTACATAAATTAAATTTGTCATTGTTTTTTCCCCTCATAAATAGAGCTTTCTTTCAGTGGTATTTGATCATCTCTGTGTTTTTTTTTAATTGTGTGCACTATAAACAAAAAAAGACTGACCGTTTTTAAAAATACCCAATATTTTTGACTTTTTGCTATAAAACCTATCCAATAAAAAAATTGTAAAAAATCAAATTTCTCATAAATTTAGGCCAAAATGTATAATGCTACATGTCTGCTAAAAAGAATCCCAATACATGTAAATTAATTGGATTACCTGAAAGTTATAGCTTCTACAAATGGCTGTTTATATACTGGAATTTTTTTTTTTTTATGTTTATACTAGTAATGGCAGCAAACAGCGACTTATTGTGGAACTGCGGCGTTCATTCTGATACTGTGTGGGAACTAACTGCCCCTGACATCCCCAGTGACACTAGTACAGAGATCAATGCTAATAAAAAGCACTGACACTGTACTAATGACACTGGACAGCAAGGGGTTAACATTTTGGGCAATCAAAGGGTTAACTGTGTGTGTGTTTTTTACTGTGTTTTGTGTTGTACTAGGGAGACATGCTGATTTGTATCTCTCTGCTGTGCAGAGATACAAAATTTACAAACAGGTCTCTCCCTGTCGGTTTTAGCCTACGATCGCTGACAGCCAGGGAATTGCTGGCCAGGACCTGGTGATTGACATCCCTAGCTGCCAGTAGCGGCGTAGGTAGGGCGCGGCGCGTGCACCCCCTACCTGGAAATGCAAATCATGTGTATATATACGTGATTTTGTGCAGCCCTGCCATCCTGTAGCAGTACTTCCGCTAAAGGGCGGAGGGAAAGTGGTTAATATCTTCTCTTCAACGTGGATTCTTTGACTGCTCTGCAAGATAGAATAAAAACCCTGACTCTCATTGCACCAAACTGGGTCAGAAGAACTTGGTACACAGACATACTCAGACTCCTAGGGGGGATGACCCTTGGCCTCTCCCAAACTGACTAGATGTGCTGTCCTAAGCCCCCCCATCCCCCGTTACCATCCTTTTTGCAGTCTCTGGCTTTAACAGCATGCCTGTTGAAGCCCAGGTCTTGAAGGACAATGGTATAGCTAACAATGTCATTGCCACCTACTGAAGACCAGAAAAGCTATGAGGTTTAGCCCTTTGCATTATATCCCAAAAGCCTTTTGGCTTTTTTTTTTTTTTCTTTTTAAGGTATCTTACAGATCAGGCCTCCCCATCACAGCTTCCTCTCAATCTGGTCCCCTCTGCTCTGCAGAAACTACTGGGTGATCTGTCCTGAAAGTAGCCTTCTTGATGGCTGTCACATCTGTTATACACATGTTTCAGAGTTTGTATTCTTCT